AAATCTTTGATTTCAACACTTTTTTATCCCTCCAATAATTGAATTGGATTAATCTTAGCTTCTTTTTTCGGATGTGGGATAAAATATCTCTCTGCTATCGTTCAATATCTTCGAGAGATTCATCTATTATTATTATTATTATTATTATTATTATTAAACGAGGATAATAAATGTCTTGATAACCTCGTACGCCATACTGTTAACTTTGGTGTAATATTCGATAAAACGTTTCGCGTAGAAGCATGATGATAAATTTGTTTAAAGAAACGTTGAACAACGCGAGGAAAAGAAATAATGTGGAAAGATATTTAAAACGCGATGGATGTGTTCTTTACGAATCGTATGTATAGTTCATCATCTATCTAATGACATCTCGTGCATCAATATAAATAAATTAATTTTAATAACCGTGCAGTTAATAATTTTAAAACGTAACAAAATACTCTTTGCACGAGGATGAAAAGGATTTCATAAGGATCCATTAAAAATAATTGCAATTTTATCTTTATAATTGCAAGAATTTAGTTTCTAAGTTTTTTTTCGAATACGTTAAAAAAATATAAAATATATCATAAAATAAATGTCAAAACACGCTTCCTCTTCGTATCCTGGAATCCATCTCGTAATTTCATTTTGCTTTATAATATATATATATATATATATTTTTTTTTATATTCTATCGTTTGTCTCAATTATACAAGACATGTATATAAATTGCCACATTTTAATTCTGTGAAATATTTCTTCATAGAAAAATTGTTTCACTTGTTTATTTAAATAGATAATATTGAGAAAATAACGAAAATAAAATTTCTTTCGTTTCGTACAATTATTTCTCGAGAAAATGAAGTGGTTATGGAATTGTCAAATTTTCGATTTTTTTTTTTTTTTTGAGAATTAATAATAAAGAAATTCTATTTTTTTTTTCATATTTTTAAGTAATTATCTATTCGTTTCGGTCGATAATTAATTAAACTGACATGTATTTATAAATATAAATTTTTAATAAATTTTAGATAAATTTTTAAATTTGATTTATTCGAAAATAACATGGAAAATTTGAAAAAGTTTCTAATTTTTAATCTTTAATTTTTAATTTTTTGTTTTGTTTCATATTTGTTGTTAAGATATTATCGTTGATAAAATAGATCTATAACTCAAAAAACAGATAGGTATTCTAGAGTCAATTTTTGAAAAATTTTCAGAATTTTAAAACTTCACAAAAAATTTCACTTTTCTGAAATTAAAAATAAAGACTTCCAGCTTTAAAAATATCTTATTCTACATTCTTTTAATCAATCTTGTACCACATAAATATAAATTTAGAATCGTTCCTTTTTTCCTTTTCACGTTGAATCTCCTAATCTTCTTATTAATTTCGAATTAACTTTTTTGTGTTTTATATTTGTTGTTAATATTGTCCTTGATAAAATAAATGGAATAATAATTCTAGAGCCAATTTCGAAAGATTTTATCAGAGTTTTAGAACTTCACAAAAAATTCTACTTTTCTGAAATTAAAAATAAAGACTTCCAGCTTTTAAAATATCTTATTCTACATTCTTTTAATCTCATACTACATTATAAATTTAGAATTATTCTTTTTTCCTTTTCACGTTGAACACTTCTTATAATCTTCTTATTAATTTCAAATTAACGTTCATCAAAATATAATAATTATTCGTATATCTCATTTTCAATGAATTTTCGAACCATTTTTCGAATCATTTTTCACTAAGTTAGATAACTAACTCAATTAAAAATTTCACGAAGCTCATTATCGATTCTAAAGCTCTCTCGACCACTGATCTAAAATAAAATCGTCAACTACCTACCGCGAGGCTTTACATTTTCGCGAATTTTCAAAGAAAAGTTGTTCTCAAAGGGGTCAATTGGACGCGATATATATCTTTTTAAAAAATTCCCATCGAGTTTCAATTCGATCGGATTGCATAAATCAGTTCCTCGTTTTCGTTTATCATCTCTTTGTCAACTTTTATTATTCGAATATCTATGCAAGGATACACATTTTATCGCAGTCATTTACTTCTAATTAATAAAATTCGAACGATATGTTGAAATTTATTAACTTTCGAAAGACGAGCAGAATTGGATCGATCGTTTCGATTGACAAAAATGACAGATGTCATATTTTTTTTTGTTTTTTGACAAAATTAGTATTATCGAGATTAAAATGTAATTACATTTATTTTGTTTATTTCTACATCATTTTTATTTTCAGTTACCTATCATTTATATGTAAAATAGATATTTAAATACTTAGATAGTTCCAGTGTGAAGGATAAATGGAAGAATCTTTTAAAAATCAGAGAATCAAGTTACTGAATCAGAGTAAAAATTTGGATATTTTAATCATGTGTGTCTTTATTTATTTCTACATCACTTTAATCACAATCGTTTGTATATAAAATATAATATACACTTAGATAGTTTCAGTGTGAAGAATAAGTGGAAGAATATTTTTAAAAATCAGAGAATCAAATAATTGAGTTATTATGTCAGAGTAAAAGTTTGCATATTTTAATCACATGTATCTTTATTTATTTTTACATCACTTTAATCGTTTGTATATAAAATATAATATTTAGATAGTTCCAGTGTGAAGAATAAGTGGAAGAATCTTTTAAAAATCAGCGAATCAAATAATTGAGTTATATTACAGAATGAAAGTTTGGATATTTTAATCACATGTATCTTTGTTTATTTTTACATCACATTAATCATAATCGTTTGTATATAAAATATGATACTTAAGTAGTTCCAGTGGAAGAATCCTTTAAAAATCAGACAATCAAGTTAGTGTATCAGAATAAAAATTTGAATACTTTAATCACATGTGTCTTTGTTTATTTCTACATCACTTTAATCACAATTGTTTATATATAAAATATAACACTTAGATAGTTCCAGTGTGAAAGATAAGTGGAAGAATCTTTTAAAAATCAGAGAATCAAGTAATTAGATTACTGTGTCAGAATAAAAGTTTGGACATGTGTCTTTATTTATATATTTTTACATCACTTTAATCACAATTGCTTGTATATAAAATATGATATTTAAATAGTTCCAGTGTGAAGGGTAAGTAGAAGAATTTTTTAAAAATCAGAGAATTGAGTTACTATATTAGAGTAAAAATTTGAATATTTTAATCACATGTGTCTTTGTTTATTTCTACATCACTTTAATCACAATCTTAGATAGCTCCAGTGTGAAGGATAAATAGAAGTATCTTTTAAAAATTAGATTATTGTATCAGTATAAAAATTTGGATATTTTCAAAAACTTTAATCACTCTTCACATTCCTCCATCAAAATTCTCTTCAAATATCTCTTACAATTTCTGTTCAAATCACAAGACCTATTCCAACAAGATGAATCAAAATTCAACGTCATCGTTCAAAATTATACAATTCCATTCCATTCTGAATACTCCCATTTACAACTTTCCCTTACTTTTTCCCCGATTGCATCGAATCGATATCGATATTTAAACCAAGAATAAAACGATTCTTTCCCGTCGACTTCGGAAGACATCCTGCACTTCCTCTTGACCGCGTTTCCGTTTTCCTTTAACGTTCTAGGTGAGACATCCGTTCGTATGGCGAAACCGATCCTCGAGGCATAACAGTTTCTCCTCAGACAGATAGCGCACGAGGATGCATACATACCCCCCCCCCTCCCCCTCCACACACATACACATACAGTGACGAGCTGTGACGCGTAATGGACCGTTCAAATCCGTCCACGTCGTCGATCTTCAATAACGAGAGATCGTTTCTATGGTTACACGCCGATCAATTGCCATTCGACTTGACTGTTACTCGCCCGTCCATGCCCCCTCCTGTTATTGAACCCGAGGAACTGTGCCCAATGTTGTACGTGTCACGGTGCGGTGTGCCTTCCAGTTCGGCATTCCAACACGGTATTTCTGTCCACGGGTATAAATATGTGCCACGAGTCTCTCTCCTCCCTTCCTTCACGAGGATGAGCAGGAGGAGGAGGAGGAGCAGCAGGAGAACGTCGTATATAGATAAACGAACAAACCGTGTATCCAACGTGGAAGGTTGATGGATGGAACGAGGTAATAATTTCACTTGACGGTGTTTTCGAACGAGAGGCTATGAAAATACGAAAGTTGGAGCGATGATGGGTGTAACATGAACACGGTGATGATTGTGGGGAAAAGTGTTAGAAGCTTGGTTTTAGGGCTAGTGACGAGTAATGTCTGTGTCTCTCGAGTGATGGATACTTTTTTTTTTTTTAATTCGAATGTCGATAATTTTCGAAATATATCGAATACTTGGTCAAATATTTCGATACGAACGATCGTTAAATTTTTTATATATGTAAAATTTGCGATTCGTTTTCGAATCTATGAGAATTTATTTTAGCGTATATAATGAATCATTACGCGATTTCATTCGATCAGTCAATCACGGGATCGTTTTACTTCGTTAATGATGTTGTTCGTTCAATTGTTAATATCTTGGTCATATAGATATTAACTTATGTTTTATTAAAAACAATTAATAATAATAATAAATAAAATTTCACCGTAAGGAATACGTTTGAGGGGGAGGATTGTAAATAAATCTTCTATTCGTTATTTGTTAAAATAAAAATCCATTAATCCGTGAATTTATTAATATCGTCGATTACAGGAAAGTATTGGTGTACATACGTAAAGAAAAAGATATGATTTACCTTTAATCAAACGTGAAACAATATTTGTTCAAATGTATTCCTTCACCGATTCATGTACCGATAAAAATAACACAAAGCTGGAAGTATATTTTCTTGTATCCTACCGTGAAACAAGGATCCGATATATCAGTGGTTCCCAACCTGTTGATCTCTATCCATAAGACGGTTACTTAAAAAAGCTTGGAAATTTATTCTTTTGGTTTCAAGGAATAAAAATACAGTATGCAATGTAAGATATGTAGATCAATTATTTCTTTCTTTTTTTTTTGTTCACAGGTAAGCAATAAAAAGAAACCGAATATGGATTATGGATAATCAACAATCTATCGTTGGAAGATTCATCAAAGGTTTTAAATATTTATATTAATATTCTTTCTTCTAAAATTTTAATTTTTGCTAACGATAAAAATTTATTTTTATTCAATTTAATATTAATTTCTAAATAAATCTTCATCGAATGTAGAGTGCTCAGAAATAAGAAAAAATGAAAATTTAATCTAACCTTTTTAGTAAATTGAAGACGTTAATTGAATCGAAGGAAGAAAATTAGAAGTAGTAAGTCGTTTGAATATTACCTAAGGGAATAACAATTCTAAAATAAGATTAGAAAATAGTAGTATTTTAATAGCTAAGCTAATCCAAATCTAATCTAACTTAATTTTCTCGATAAATTTTTGATATTAAGCAAATTGAAAAGAGAAAATATTAGGATTGAAACATATTTTAACATATGAGAATTATAATTAAGCCCAAATCTAAAACCTAACCTCTATTATATATATATTAAACATTAGATTGAACCGAAGGAATAAAATATTAATATTAAAAGTGACAAGTCATTTGAATATCGCGATTATTCTTTCTAATCTTAAACCTAACCTAACTTAATCTTTTCCACAAATTCACGATATTAAGCGTTGGGATTGAAAGAAGAAAATATTAATTTTGGTAAATGGCATTGTATGTACCAAAATAATTCGTTCATCTGTTCTCGATTCTATTCGAGTCTTCTCGAGTAAAATGTCTTGACGAAGGGATGTATTTCATTTATGAATGCCGCAATTGCCCCCATGTATGCTTGTACGGGCATACAATATCAAATATATAGCGGCCAAAGGAAACTCGTTTTGCCGGCTTCTTTCTCTCTCTCTCTCTCTTTCTCTCTATGTTGATTGCCGAATATCATGGAACAAAGCGATATTATTAAAGGCTCGTTCAAAAAGCTCGCTCACTCTGTTAATTCTAATGAAATTTCTACGCCTCGATGATATCGGTAGGTTTACCTTCACTTTGCATAAATGCTACCAGTTTCTCAGCCGCGATTTTATTTCCTCGCGGCACGAAATATTTTTACAAAAGGCAGGCTCATTTCCCTTCCTGTTACGATCTAACATCTCGATTAAATCGATTAAATCGAAATCAATTTTTTTCAGAAATTATTATTATTATTATTATTATTATTTTTTTAGTTAATATTAATCTTCGTTTCCAAAATTATTTAAAAATTAGTAAAATAAGTTAGATTCGATTTTAGATAGATTAGCGGTATTATAATTATTGTACAGAAGCTTGAGTTAGAATTAACTACTAAAATTTCGTTCGTATAAATAAATGGAATTCCATTATAAGAAAAAAGAAGAGGAGAAAATAGAAGATCCGGTTTTGAAAATTTTTATTTCATTTCCATTTCTTTTTCATACTCATCGTACATCGACTCATAAAACTTGATCCACGATAATTACTGTTAAGGCGAAAATTAACGATGTAATGATCGACTACGCCGTTTGGATCGTGACTGTTCAACTCATCTTCGCGAACTGTACATATCTTTACCACTGTAATTTGTTGGGAATCGCTTCTTTTTTCTTTCCTTCCTTCTTTACTTAGCACACGATATATAAAAATCGTTTTTCCAATTAATGTTTTACAGGAAAAACAACGGGATGGAACTTTCTCTTTCGCAAAGTTAATTTGTCTTTCATTTGCGCGAATGTCGATAAAGAAGGAAGTAAAAGCTATGCACCGACGGAGGGGAGGGGATGGGGAAATTATTCTATCGCGCAATGCGATTCACGTAGGCGAAGAAATGTTCAGATAGTTGTATCACTCGTGTATTGAATTATGATTGTTCGATTTTTTTTTTCTTTCTTTCTTCTTTTTTTTTTTTACCGTAAATATAAATATAATAGCTCGTATAATACAGAATCGAATATATTTTTCACTTTAAAGTATATAGGATGCAAATTTTAACTTCATTTGTTTATTGTGTTACAATTTGGTTACAATTATCGATTGAGTTTTTCGAACGATTGGTATTTCGTTATACGTACGTATGAATTCAACGATATTTTAAATACATTTTAATGTCATTAACTGTTGCGCACAATTTTAGGGATGTATATATAAATTGGTTTTTTTTATACAACATATGATTCTTGTCGCTTAAAATTCCCTGAATGGAGTTGAATGGAGTAATATTCATTGAATGCGAAATATATATAAAACACGTGTAAATAATTCGTCTAATTTTTTTTGCTTTTTCAATTTCTTATAATTCAATTTCTTTCTTAAAATAATCTATAAAGTAGGTTCAAGTTAGGTTTCTCTGTATTTCCTTTCTTTCTTTAAAGAAGAGATTAAAATCGTGATTTAACGAGTTGGTTAAAATTAATCGTTTAAAAATATCGAGGAATAATTAATTGAAAAATTGAATTAAAGCTTCAATTTGATTTTATTAATGTGCATTTTATATGTTTATTAATATGCATTTCGCGATGAGCCATTTTACGATATCGATAAATAAATTCGATTCATTTAAAAATCTCGTTTCGAATTCAGTCGAAAATAATCGAATCCGTTCACAGTAACTCCAATTCCAAATTTACCTTTGATGTAAATATCCAATCTCATTTAACATGAACTCAGTTAGATAAAAGCGCGATCGATATCTGGATCCAATCCATCCATTTTTCGAAATTTCTTCAGAATCGATATAAACAAAATTTATATAATTTTCATTCAAAGCCAAGAATTATTTATATAAAGCATAATTTGAGCAATTTTGTTTTCTTCTTTTTCTCTAATATTTTAATAATTATCCGAAAAAAATTAAAATGCTCAAAATTCTTGTCAATCAACGATAAAATTATAAAAGGATAAAAATATTCATCAGAATTGCAACAATAAAATTTGCCATAAATTATATCTTATAACATTAAACTTATTTGTCACTCATCAAAATTTGCTGAATATGTTATATTCAAATGTTTCTAAAATAGATAAGACACGAATATTTAGAGACAATGTTTTTTCTTTTTTTTTCTTAAATTTATAATTTTATAACATGTTAAAGAGATAGAAACACGAAAGAGTGTCGAAGATTTTTTTTAAAAGATTATCTTTAATGATAGATTTATCTTCTCAAAAAGATCATCTATTGAAAGAAAAAAAGAAAAATTGCTCTACCAATTATACTTTAAATATACACAAATTTCTGTCAAATATTTTCACTTTGAACTTTCTCCACGGACACAAATCAAATTTCCTCGATCCTCGTTTAATTACCTTCAAACAAATTTCGAACATTCTTCTCCTATTAATTCGAACGATTAATCCACGAAAAAATCTATCTCTAAACACTCCGTATACGTATCTACCCAATTTACCCAAAGCAAACCCAATTTCAAACGTATAAAACATAAATATCCAACTCGATATTCGAGAAACGTACGTCGGTAAAGGCAATAAAAACTTGGTATCGACGTATCTCCGATTTTTCTCTCCCCTTCCCCCTTCGAAAATATAAGCTCGAAAAATGGATCTTCTGTTTCTAAAATACGTCAAAAAGGATGATATTATTCGATGCGACCGAACACCCGAGCTCTTCGATGAAATATCGGGAAAATATACGATTCTCCTACGAAACCACGTTTAACCGCGAGGTGTGAAACGCATATTTGCTAGATTTATAACTCGCACGATCGTTCATCTCCTCCCTCCTTTCGCGATGATTTATACAGGGAGGGATTTACTAAACAATAAGAGAAACGCGGATTCGATGTATTTATTATCGGCGGTCAAGTTGGTGGCGACGATACGTCGAAAAAAGAAGAGG